CTAAAATTATTATTATCTACTTTTCCTTTCAGTATATTTCAAATTGTCCCATCTAGTTGCTAAATCATCCGGATGAATGTGATAGGATGGTCCCTTATTAATAAAATGAGACTAAAATTTTAATGGCAAAATATGTGCGTTCAAAATGTCTAAGCCGAATCTTACATCCTTGTTTATACTTAGGGCATACTGAAAGTTTCTGGATTCTGATAAACAAGACAAGATATGAGACTTACGAAACATTTATTATTTTTCTAAGTATATTTCCTCGCAATTAATGCATTTTTGCCTTCGCTGAAACCACTGTACAAAGCAGTTGGACCAGTCTTTCTTAGTTACCTTTTCAATGGCTTCATGAATCACATTCACCGCAAATTCATAAAACTTTTAAATTCTTAAAACGTGTGCCTCTAAGTTTGTCTTAAATTTTTGGAAACAAAAAGAAGTGGCAGGGTGCGAGTCCAGGCTGTAAGGCGGATGTGTCATCATTTCCACATTTGAAGCCTTCAAATAGGCTTCTGTTACCTTAGCAGAAAGTGAGGATGCGTTATCGTGGTAAACTTCTAAAACTCTGGTCAAGCAAGTGTTGACGTACCAATCTGAAGTCACTGTCCTTTGATCATCAAGCGATACTGTAGTATAATGTCCTGATTTGCCGAAAAAAGAAGCAACCCTTTTTATACCAATGCTTCGACTTTTCTTAACTTTCGTAGGCAAATCTTCAAAAGGAGATACCCACTCTGCCAACTCACTTTTTCTTTTGGGTTCAAAGAAGTATATCCAGCTTTCGTCACCTGTTACGATATTATAGACAGCCAATGACTGTTGTGTGTGAACTTTTTTATTATTGCACTTGGCCTAACAAAGCATGAATTTGCTGACAAGTCATGTTTTGACAGTTTTAATCAGTTGTCGTACGGTGTCAATATTAGAGTATGTAACCGCAGTCGCCGGCCAACCTTGACGTACTTCGTCATGGAGATGATCTCGTCTACGTCTAAATTTTCTAAACTACGAATACACAAAGCTGCGACATGGTGCTTCATCACCAAATGCCAATTAAAGTCTCTGACAACTGTTGACTTAAGCTACAACGAAAATCTTAAAAAATCATTGAACGAAAATGTTCACGAGTTAGTACGTTTTGATAGCGACAGATAATTTTCGAATGTACGTCACAATGAAAAAACAAATGGCAGTCTCGCAAATTAAAAAGTGACATATTCCCAAAGATTTCCATTTTTAAATTTCAAAATTTTACTTTCATTATTTTATTGTAAGAGGCCAAATCCAGAGACTTTCAGTGGGCATACTGACATACTTCAGCAACAAAGTAGTACTATCTCAAGTAGCGTGATATTTACAGCGGTTTTATGGTTTTCTAGTATGTCATGGTGTTTTTTTCTCTATTTATTTACAAAGTAGAATTGTGATTTTATAATAGGTATAATTGTAAATAGTTCATCGACCGAGGAATTGCTTTTGTCATCGAAATAAGGTGATACAGGTTGATTGTATAGTAATATTTAGTTACCATTACCGCCACCTCTGTATATAAGTATATACATACATTGACAACGTTTACACGAGTTGAGTGTGGATTGAAATAAATTGAAAATACAAACATATATTGTGTATATACGTACAACATAGAGTTGATAGGGTGGCAATGCAGAAATAAGGCGTATCGGAAACTGCGACGAAGACTGAGTTATTTACAGAGTTGCGAGAAATCAACGGCAGCATATTCTTAACAACATTAATTTCACAACTGCTTCAGGTATCTGGAAGTTCCTATGGACCTTAGGTATCGGCAAGTCTGAAAACATAACCTTCCTTCGACCTTTGATTTGGATGATATTAATCATCATTTCACCTCATCACCGCAGTTTGATCACTTCTCAAATGCATTCAACTCCGTCAGTCACGATATCTTTTTGTCTATCCTGTCCTATCTTATGCTTACGCCTGATACACTGGACTGGTTCTCGTCCTATCTTCAGGGGCGTCAACAGTCTGTCCGTCGTTGAATCCTCTTCAGGTTGGGGTGGACTCGACTATGGCGTCCCTCAAGGTGGCATTCTCTCTCTTCTATTATTTTCAATATTTATCAATCTCATCACTCCGAACCTTCAATGTGCGTGCCTTCAATCTTTATGCCGATGACTTACAGCTGTAGAGCTATTGTCAAGAATCGATAGACGACATAGATGGGGGATATCCTGAGAGTAAACAACGACATGGGGACTATTAATGATTGGGCTAATAAGTTTGATTCGACTATGAACCCAGTAAAGAGTCAAGCTATCATCATAGGCCCTTTATCAGCTTAAAAATTCCCTCCCCTCCGTGACGATAGCGATGCTTGTACAGACCCTTATTGTCCCTATCTTGGAATATGGTAATGTATGCTTTTATGACCTGAATGTCTGCATTCATGCAATAAGGGTCTGTACAAGCATCGCTATCGTCACGGAGGGGAGGGAATTTTTAAGCTGATAAAGTAGGTCTGCCTACTCAATAAATATGACCGCCTTCTGAATAACTGAATTCTATTCGTCTTCAATCTTCGCAAATATGACCGTGTTTCCTCCTTTTGTCGTGAATTCAACTGGCTCACAATTCGTCGCCTATTTCGTCGTATAACTCGCCCATTTGCCCCTCCTACCTGACATCTTCATTCCAATATCAGTGTTCGTACCATGATACAACCCTCCGTTCATCAAAGAATCCTCTTCTGCTATGCCCCACTCATAAACATAACATGTATCGAAAAAACAAATATTTTTTTTAGTTTTCACTTCTGCCGGCACTTCCGAAGTGCCAGCAGAAGTGAAAACTAAAAAAGTTTTTTTTTTAAGATCAGTCCCGCGATAATCCTGAATAATGAATCCTGTGTGAATAAAATTATCTTGATACATTTATGGTATTTTACAGAACTTATCAAATTTGTGCTAACTTTGCCAGTTCTTAATCAAATAATGATAAAAAATATTATCATTATTTGATTAACAGTAAGTAAAACATAATCTATGAAATCAGACGTGAAGCAAATAAACCTTTCTAAGGAGAGGCTTATGTCCAGCAGTGGACCATTAAAGGCTGTTGATGTGATGTGAGATGATAAGTATATTGAGATAGGGAAAAATTATAACTATTACTAACATTACAGTAATAACCTCAGACATCTAATACACGACCGTCTGATCCCAAACTAGGCAGAGCCTTGACTATGGTAACAGACTGCTGATAAACATACTTATATATTTCTAAATACATACATATTATAGATAAATTATACTCAGACACAGAACAAACGATCGTGCTCATCACACAATTATTTATCCTGGGTGGGTATCGAACCCACGACCTCCGGCTTGGCAGTCAGGGTCACTAACCAGTAGACTAATAAGCCCGTCAAGACAAGATATATCCAAAGGCTCTCAGCCCCGCATATTGCAAGAGTTCCGTATCTTGGGGCCCTGTTAAACGATGAACTGGCAACCTGTTGCGGCATTATGGGTTCTTTAGAATTAATGCTTGTTAAGTTACTGCGTACCAAATTATATACCTATATTTCTCTTTTACTGGCATTTCCTTAAATGTTAATATAAAATAAATATGTTGGAAATGCTTTATACTAAACCATAAGTAGAGCTGTAGGTTGTGAATGCTATAACATAGATTGAATAGTTTACTAAAGAGCTTTTACGATTGACGAGCATTGTTTTGTTTGAGTACTGTTTCCTAATTTAGGAATAAGTACCACTAAGTATTGTGCTAATTATAAGTAATAATAACCTCACACATCTCAACAACAGCCGTCTTATCAGAGCCTGTGCTTTAGTGTGCCGGACGTCGCCTAAATAGAGAATGTACCCGAAGGTGGTGCCCGCGCCGTTGCGGGCATGCGCTAGGAGGGGTCCGGCTGTCCTCGTTCTTCGTTATGCAATTCGACTAAAGCTCAGTCTTGTGGTGTATCTTGTTATTGACATGGTGTTGTTGGAGCTAGATATAGGAGAGGATGAGATTATGGGGGAAATATCTATCAGTATATTCATTTTCTCGTAATACAGTAGTCCTTATCCATGTTGTACAAAATATCTGATATTCATTGCACAACTTTCCTATCTCAGCGCAAATACGTATAAGATTTGAGCACTTTAAACAATTGATTACGTTATTTATACGCCGCTATCATGGCAGTACATCGAGCTCAAACTAAACCAACAAAATGCGCAAATACTTATTCATTAATTAATGTTTATTTAAGTTTGATAATTCCCTTCATGTACAGAATGTTTCGATATTTGAAGTGTACATGTAATAAATTTATAACTTATCTATATATATATATATATATATATATATATATATATATATACGTTACGAATACGTATATACGTTGATAAACACTACACCAAAGTCTAATACCCTGTACGAAAAGGCGAAAAAATACCGTCTTAAGAAGTATCTTGGAGTGAAAACACGGTTTGAAAAAAATGTTTATATTTTTATGTTATTTTAATATATTGTGGTATATATCTACTTATATTAGGTTGATCATTATTGGATTGTAAAAAAAAATGATTTTATCAGTTTAAATCTAAAAATATAACTCATAATAAAATTAAATGACATAGTATAGTAGCCTCACGTAATTAGAAAACTTAGAGTTTCAAAATAAATATCAAATATATTGCAAACGTCTTCAGTTCTTGACAGGTAATGTTTTGATCGTTGGTAAAACTATTAAACAGATGATGTAACCCATTAAAGAGTTTGAAACTTCTCCCATTAAAAAAATATAATTAATCAAATAAATCTAGGCACCCAGTAATAAACCTGATACGAATCTGCTATTTTTTTTAAATTACAAAAATTAACAACGTATTTTTTTAAACAACCTCTATATAAGTCGAATAGATATACATAAAAACTAATTTTCTCGTCAAGAAGCTGATAGTTAAGTAAATACTTTCACAGAACGCAGACGCAATATGGACGATACGGAAAAACAGATGAACTCACCAGAGGAAGAACCACTAAAAGAAAAAGATGATGCTAAATCCGAAGCCAAAACTGAAAGTCTAATAACAAAGTTATGGCGATTCAAATCCAATATTACCGTTGAACCTATATTTATTGGGTTAGTTATGCCATCAATGTTATGCAGATTAGCAATACAAAATTTGAATTTAGATAAAACATGTCGAGTGAAATTAAATTTAAGTGACCCGATATGTGATGCTCTGATCGAAAGGAAAGGAAACCTGACAATTTACGAAGCTGACATTCAAAATATTATTGCTAATATAGAGTCATGGAAGAGTATAATAGCGACAGCAATACCAACATTACTTGTTATTTTCATGGGAGCATGGAGTGACAGAACGGGAAATCGAAAAGTTTGTATCTTACTACCGTTTATTGGAGAATTCCTTGTCTGTGTTAGCAATTTACTAAGCACGTACTTCTTTTATGAAATTGGAGTTGAAGTGACAATGTTTTTAGAGGCTATATTTCCTGCTGTCACAGGAGGGTGGGTCATGGTATACTTAGGGGTCTTCAGTTACATCAGCGACATTACAGATGAAGAATCTAGAACGTTCCGTGTTGGAGTCGTGAATCTTTGCTTGACTGCTGGCATTCCCGTCGGTACAGCTTTGAGCGGCATTTTGCTAAAAGTGTTGGGCTACTATGGGATATTCATAATATCTGGCAGTGTATATGTTATGACATTTATTTACGGGTTGATTGCTCTCGAAAGTAACACCAAGGCAAGTCGAGGAAATGCAGAAAAGGTGCGTGGTTATAATGGCATAATATTTACATAGAATATAAGTAGTACAAATAGCTTCTGCCAGTTTATTCGTTTATGAATATCATAACTCGATGCAAAATGAAGACGATTAAGCAAACCAGTAAGTTGAATCTCTTGTCGTGTACTTGAAGTTCATCTTTTAATTTACTCAAATCCAAACCCTCATGGTTTCGATTTGAGTAAACTCCACATAAATAAAATAATTAAATATTAATCTGTGTGTATTCGTAACCATAAAAAAAAAACTTTTTTTAGGTTTTCAAGACAAATTCTTGAATATTAAATGGAATTTTTTGTAACTTTTGATATTTTTATGCAATCTACACACTGACAAGTACTTAATTAAAACAACTTAATTTTGCTTTAATTTTCTTTCTATCTTGAGTGTTTCTGAGTATGAACTTCTTGTAAAACACTAAATGCAACTTCAGCTGCGTCTTTCAAAAGGAATTTAGTTTCCCCATTTTTTGCAACATTTTCCATTGATGCTCTGCTCTTATTGGCCGTATTATGATGTTGTATATCCTAAAGCTTTTCTCAATAAATAGGCTATTCAACACAAAACAAAAGTTCAATTGACTGCAATGACTGCACGGATGGCGTAGTGGTTTAATGCTGAGTGTCGTGGGTCCAATCCCCACATGGGACTACACTTTGTGTGATCCGCAAATTGTTGTTCCGAGTCTGGGTGTTCTTTGTGTCCGTTTCATGTATATTTGTAAAGTCCCCCGCGACACAGGATATATTCCTAACGCGGGAGTTGTCTTTTTAGATTAGAAACAAAAGAAAAGAAAATAGTAGTGCTTGAGATTAGCATGTATTACGTTATTGACATACTAGCTCTGTAGACTAATGACACAGCGTTTTTTCACTGCCTTTGTAATATACAAATATTTTAATAATTCATTATTTCAGGAAAAACCTGTAACCTGCTCAGATATGGTAACGCTAATAAAAGAAACGGCAGAAGTAGCAGTCAAAAAACGTGAAAGTAATTATAGGAAGAAAATAATATTGACACTCTTAGTAGTCGCCATAATATATGGACCTAATCATGGTGAGAGATGAATGAGATACTCACAATTATTTTTAAATATTTTAATATTTTTTTGAGTTAAAATTTATAGCAATATGAAAACAGCTACAATAGTAGATAATAATAACAGGCATAAAAAAGGAATACCTGCAATATTAGTTAGTTTGTAAAACGGTCTTAGATAAGAATTGTAGTAGAACTGTAAGAACTGTAAGAACTGTAAGAACTGTAGAATTGTAACAGATAAGGATTTCTAATACAATGTCATCAGCGTCAGCTGTATTCTTAATACCGTCCGTGTGGTGACGGATTTGTATCACCATCCCTATTCATCGCGTGGGTGTCGTAAGAGCCGACGAAGGCAGCAAACTACGCAGGACAACATCACTTTAAAGAGAAGGAAAATTTGAAACAAACTCTATACAAACCTGTCTGGCCAGCATGGTATTGTAGGCCAACACCTATTTTCTAAGGAGAGGCCTATGTCCAGCAGTGGATAATTAACGGTTGCTGAATACAATGTACTTGGAGCAAAACAAAATGTACACTTATGCATTGCAATTTTTTCTATGTAAATATGATTTCGAACATAATCTTCTTATCAGGTTGTGGCCATGAAATAAGTATACGAGACTTATAAGTTATAACAACTGTTTACAGAAATGAGACCGTCAAATACAGAAAATATTTTACGTTATAATGTTTATAAATATTATTTTGCTCGGTCATCCAGGTTCTTATATAAATATAAAAAGTTAAGTTGGGTTGTGTACGCTCCAAAAACTTATTTTTTTTTACATCGATTGAGCTCAAAGTTTGAGACAACATACAAACCGCTTCAACGATTATTCGTATCTATTTTTAGGGTTCCGCACCTCAAAAGGTAAAAAAGGAACAATTATAAGATCACTTTCTTGTCCGTCTGTCCGTGTGTCCGATTTACTCAGGAACGGGTGGACCTAGCAAGTTAAAATTTATACCAGATACTGAGGTCCATAGTCCCTAGTAGTTGTATAAAAATCAAGATCCTGAGTCAACACGATAAAATAATATGGGCAAATTTCGATTTTCGCGAAAACTTGTAATACCAAAATTTACCTTAATTTTTAACTTTATTTTATTAAGCTATTGCATAGCTTCTATCGAGGGCCTTGAGCGCGGGGACCGAATCCAGAAATTCCGTAACGAAAAAAAACCTCACGCTAAAAACAAAACAAAAACAGTACCAAAATCAAATGCTGAACGTCAAAGGAAATTTCGTCAACATAATACAGATTTTTTTTACATGGATATGTAATTTGATTTAATAATAATGTTTTTTATTTATTTATTTAAAAACAAATTGTAATATATGCTTCAATATTTTTATTTAATAAAAGAAAAAAAAATGTTTTCTTATCGGTCACGACGCTCAAAAAGTGTAACTTGAATTAATATCAAAGAAAAAGAAATACTGCATAAATAAAATAAATAAATAATTATAATTGCATAAGTTAATACAAAATGCTATGCAATAGCTTTACCGCGGCAGTCCCCGAGTGCCACACGTCTTTTTTCTATTCTATATTCTCTTTACTTGTGCTGTAAGACCTTGCGTTTAACCAAAATTGTCAATTCTAGGTCAAACGGAAGTACCCTATAGGTTTTGGGTCGAAAACCTATATGGTAGTTCCCGTTGACCTAGAATCACGAAACTTAGCAAAAAGAAACGCCTTTCAGCACAAATAAAATAATTACAAAAAATAAAAAAAGTTGAAAATTAAGATAACTTTTCGCTAAAATCTACGTAAAATCTGGGTAGGTACGGAACCCTCGACGCACGAGTTCGACTCGTACCTGACCGGTTTTTTTATTTTACATTATTTTTGTACATCATTTTTCATCAATTCAACCACAATGTGTCACAGCAAAGACTGGTGGGTTACAGCTAGCTATAATGATGTTTTTTGCGTATGACGGTATTTTTTTGTTTTTAAAATTTTGAAGTTTGTTTTTTTTTATTCAGGTGAAAGAATCGTCACTTACCTGTATGTTAGATACAAGTTGAATTGGGATGCAATTAGATACAGTTTGTACTCAACATACAGCATCATCACGCATTCTTTAGGTAAGTTTTTACCGCTATTAATAGAATAGACAAGATCAAATCGTTATATCCTCTGGGAATGTAGTCTTTGGTATAATGAACGTAATATAATGCTGAATACCTTGCAGGTGACATCTGGGGCGGTATACTATGGGGATCTTGTGTCAACTAGGGTGAATTTCCGTGCGTTTAGGCGATTCTGCCATACATATTATAGAAATCAAATATAGCTCACGTAGGACCCGTAATATTTCGTGGCCGTGGTGCTTCCCTGTTTAAAAGGGTGTATGCCCATTTTATTTCATTTTGTCTCCCGCTTTGCTAAGGAGGGAAGTGGATTTACTGTATTTCCAACTCCTCCAATTTTCTTCTGATTAATTTCGTTGCGGGTTCCAAGACAGTTTAATTTCTTCCTGGGACTTCCCGAGTGTCATAACTCGGTGTGTTCGTGGGTCACTGCTGTGGATCCTGGTGTACAGGAGTTACATTGGTGGGCATGTGGGCGGGATTAGTCCCATTAAAAAAGATCAAATCGTTTTCATATCATTTTTAAACATATAACACTCATCTATTGATAAATAAATATATTATCTTTTTCACATAAAGTTTTACAAAAAAATATTTTTACATATTAATATCTCACATGATATTTACCTTATCTAAATATTATTAAAGGCTTTAAAAAGAGGAATTTCGCTAAAGTAAACTAATTAAAAGACATTATAAAATGTATTCAATTATCCTCGCAGCGGGTCCAATGAATATTTTGATCTTTCTTGCAATTTTTATTGGTAGGTATTTAGTAAAACATTAAAAGCTCGTTAATAACTTATAATTTTACATACCAACTTCGTCAATGAACTTAGTTTAAAATTCTTAGGTATATTATCTTTGCGTTATCAAGTGCTCTTGACTAATATATAGAGCTTGCGTGCTCATATCTAATCAAGTGCTAAAAGTGCGATGGCATAGCCCTGCCAAAGAGCACTCACACCTTAGCTACAATCGTGCGTCCCTTGGTCACTTAAGAGATTTGACCATCTGAATTAGGTTTTTTACAATGTACTTTATGTCCGTATTTAATAACTACATAAATTTCTATAGGATTAAAATTTTGTAAAATAAACTGCAGACCTTAAAATATCATCAAAGCGGTAACAGAGCTCCATATCTACAGCATTACTCATAAAAGAAATAGAACATTCAGGGTGGTTCGGTGACAACCAAATAGGATATAATACTGTTATTAATATTAAATTCTGCCAGTGTATGAAGCGCCACTTTATTAATATTAGTAATCATTGTAAAATAATTAAATTACTTTGAATTTTATTATTAAACTAGCTGACCCGGCAAACGTTGTTTTGCCGTTTACATTATTTCTAGGAAATAAGAACAGGGGTTAATTGTAGATGGGTGAAAACTTGAAGTTGTATGTATTTTTCAATGCTAAATCATAATAAAATAAAAATAAATAAAATTGTTAAAATAAAAAAATAAAATTTAGGGGAAAAATATTTGATCCTTATCATTTAGGGAAATGAAAAGTAGATGTTGACCGATTCTCAGACCTACCCGATATGCACACAAAATTTCATAAAAATCGGTCCAGCCGTTTCGGAGCAGTTGGGTAACAAACTTTTTATATATTGAGAATTTTTATATATTGAGATTTATATATTGAGAATTTTATATATTGAAAAAAAAATCTATTAAACTTTTTTTTTACAAGATCTCAAACAAGATTTTTACAGAAAATTTGATTGGTGAAAAAATAATGTAACAAACAAAATTACTTTCTATTTTATTTAAATCTCTAAAAGATTTTGTTTTTGTTTTCAGGTGCATTGTTTTCCATCAGTGTGTTCAGTAAACGGTGGGGTTTCCACGACTCAGTGTTGTGCCTCATTTCAATTGTCAGCAAGCTTACTGGCTCTATTCTTATAGCTTTTGTAACTACGGATTTGCATATGTTCCTGGGTAATTAATCTTTCAATTTGAGTCTTTATAGATGTCTCATTTTCTATTTTACTAAAACAAACTTTTGTCGGCAGTTCCACTCGTAGAAATCTTGAACGCTACTACATTTACCTCACTTAGATCCATGGCATCTAAGTTAGTTCCTAGCGAAGAATTGGGTAAGTCTAATTATGTAGTCGAAATTGGTGTAATAATTTTTCATAGTCCTATATAAAATAGTTGATTAATCGTTCTAATAAGCGATAAAATATTATATCCCTCGTCAAAAAAATTGCTAATATTTAAATATTACAAATATTTGATGTTCTGAATATCAGTAAATTAAAAATATCTTAAGAAACAATAGGTAGCAGGTTTGTCCCCTTTTTGGCAAACAGATCATAGAGGTTAACTAAACCGTTTCATCTTAGAAGTTGGTTGTGATAGTCGGCTTGTAATCTTCAGTTCTACATATGTTTAGGAAACATAATAAATGATTTTTCTTTTGATGTTTCAGGAAAAATGAATTCACTGTTCAGTCTTATAGAAACCTTAGCTGCACTGATGTTCGATCCAACTTACACCACCATCTATTCTAATACCATCACCGTGTTTAGTGGAACTGTGTTCTTATTCAGCGCCTTCATGACCTTACCTGCTATTTCTATTTTATTGTAAGTACATAATAACCCTTGATATATGTTGCTTTAAAAACAAGCTTGTAAGTCATCATTGGGAATTTAATAATTTTTTACTAACTGACTCCGAAAACCGACCTTAAGAAAAGTAAAAGATTATGGATGTATCTGATCATTCAAAGGCTGCTAGACTGATTTACTTTTTATTTTGTTTGAAAGATTAAGATTCTAGTCGGTTCTATTGCTACCAGGCAGGGTCTAATGATGAAAATTTTCAAAAATTATAGATACAGTTATATTGATTTGTTTTTTTTTAATATAGTTATATAAAAAAAAACAAATCAATATAACTGTACTAATATCAAAAGAATAACTGATGTTAAAGACCACATATGACAATCAAAACTACTAAATAAAAGTATATATTTCACAGTTTATGAAATATCAATGCCCATCATAGTGAATGCTGAAGTGCACCTAAAATCTTTTATCTAATTACTCAAAAGGGGGAGTTTCTTCTTTCAACTATTTTTCTTCGATAATTGTTAACACAGTTTACTCATGTTTTAATTTCATAAATCGTACTCATGGTTTAAATTTGAAAAATAACGCGATTCTGAGAGTAGAAATGTAAAGCTTGATGTTACAGCTTGTTTCAATTTTCATAATATTATTGTTAATTTAAACAAACTTGAATTGTATTAAAGACGATTATTAGGTTTCAAAAGTTAAATTTTATAATTTCCAGATGGATTTTCACGCAACACAGGAGAGAAATGAAACAGAAGAAGCAGGAAACTGCAAATATTCCTGAAAATTATCCTGAAAAAGTTCGATGAAATGAGGTTAAAATAAATGCTTTTGCATTTCATTTGTTTAAATTCAAATCATTAATATCCTATACCTATTACTCATTAATCATATACCACATCAACGATGGAGAATCCGAAACTCAATGATTTGCGTTTTGAATGTCAATTTTGACAGCAAGATATTTTTGGTTTTATGTTACTGCTACATACTTTTTATATGGTTTTGTCTAAGTTCAGGCACAGATAAACATGAATTTTGGAGTACAAAATATACTCGTATGAAGAAGTGGTGCAGACAGTATTTAAGCAACATGTGCCACAAATTAAAAAGTAAATAGAAGACGAGTAAATCGAGCAATAGGTGTCCAGTATATATATTGACTTATTACGTTTACCTTAGTTATTGCAATGCACAGCTGCCAGTAAGAATTTAGACCAACAGGCGATCTATAGCAAATAATAATTCTTAGTGCACTGTATGAAATTATAAGTGTATCTTAACGGTTGCTTAACGGTTACTTGCATTTTGGGCAACATTATACAATACATGTATTTGTATGTAATGAATTATCGTCCGTGGGACGACATTTGTGGCTAAACATGGCTCATGTTTAGCCACAAATGGGGCGGCTTGGAAGGAGTGACACTAGGGCTTCACAGAGAACCGGTGTTCAGCAATTCTTTTGTTGCTTTTCTCTATGTGACTCTGGTTTCCAGAGTCCAATCCAGGGGGGTTTTGGGACTGCCGCCTGTAATTATAAAATGTCTACAAAAATTTCCTTAAATAAAAATATTTTGTGCTACATATGTATGCTTGATAAGGCTAGCTATCATTCGTGTCGATATTCCCATTTTATCATTATCATCTCAGCCAAAAAGGTCCAAAGCTGGACATAGGCCTACGAGCATTTTTCACTTCCTAACGGTGCCTCTTAAGAAATTGTAGGCTTTTTTGTAACTTTAATGTAGCAGTTTTTTTTCATTCTTTTTTGAAAAGACAACTCGCAGGGGACTTTTCAAACATACATGAAACAGACACAAATAACACCCAGATTCAGAACAATAGTTTCTGCATCACACAAAGTGTCGTCCCGTGTGGGGATCGAACCCACAACACTCAGCGTAGTGGTAAGCGGCGTGGTAACTGCTTAAACCACTACGCCAACCGTGCAGTCAAGTATAGTAGCTTGTTATAGATGTAAAGTGTAATTTATAATGTTTATACCTAGTGGACGAAAATCTCCACTTTTGTTCTCATAGATGTCCTATGTCTTTTGGCGCCAATTTATGATTCGCTGTAGGAATTAAAATGAATGCCTTTCTTTCTACAAACTTTACTATTGACCAATCTTATAAATTAGCCTTCTTAATTCTTAAATAATTATTTGGTTTCATTCAAAAGAAGCGCATAAGTCAATCACATGATCTTTAATTACAGCGCCTTAGGATCTAACATAAAATGTTTGTATAAGTTTTGATTGCCATATTATTTCTTGCAGATTTCTTAGTTACACTGCAAACGTAACATTCTACATAAAGGATAATCCTATTTTGCTGTTGTGTAAAGTGTTAGCAGACTCTCGAAGAGGGTGGAGGTTATTTTACCAATACATGGTAAAACAATAGAAAAAGCCATCGCTTACCTTCAGGTGTAATACTAGATATAAATGAATAATAAATAAAAAATAAATAATTCGAATAATTATACTTCAATACACATTTACATAAGGCAGAAGCAATTCTTTTAGTTATTGGACAGCTAGTAGTTGTTACATTATTTACTAAAATCTAAAGCATGCATCTATTATATTGAGATTAATGCACAACGTTTAAAGGCGTCATATCATGGATAATAGAGTAACACTATATGAAAATAAATATAGAAAAACATAACATCTATGCGAATTTAACACTAAATTGAACAAAAATAAAAAAAACAACATGACCATTGCTTCCACGGCAATTGTTGTGAGTGTAAGTCATGCGTGTGAGTGTCAAACGACAAGACGGGTGAGTGCGGAACTGACAGTGAAAATATCGATAATGTCTTTTTCTTATCACACTGTGTAGTGTATATTTTTTCCGTCGGAAAATAACGTAACTATATTCTATTTATTTAATGTAGTAAAAATCGCTTAAAAAGAGTCAAAAATATTCTAAATTATGTCTAATTATGTTGATTTAGTCACTACCGTACGAGTGAAGCCGTAGACAGAAGCAAATCCATAATAATCCTTCGATAGATATTTCAGCCAAAGCTATAAAAATTGATTATCGATAAAACGTTCTATAATATAATAATGCCATCCCTAGTCAGTTAACGTGATGGAAATTCTGACATACTTAGGTCTAATTAAATTTTCAAAAAAATCTAACTCTTATAAGACTTATACAACACATGGTGGCGTAATAATAAATCATAGAAAGATATTTATTAAGTTGACTGTGAGTCAATTTTATAAACGTTTAAGGTTTAGCTAAATATGTTTCTGCCATTGTTCTTTAGTTTTGGTTTTCGTATGTAAAATATTATTTGCAACTTTTGGAGGCATCCAACCTAGTGTTTTAATACGCTTAATATGTGTATGTACATCAAAAAGTAAAAAAATAATAATAATTTGCTTTTAACGCAAATATGAATTTATCTGTTACATTTTACGCCTTCACTGCTGAGTTCACACTATCGCGTGCTTACAACTTTTTACCTCATCATCAATGAAATTGTTTTAAATTGTTATTAAGCTTACTATTTAAAGGAATCTTTAACTTAGAAATACTTCTGTTTCTAAGAGACACTTGAATTAAGGAATAAAATCACACACGCTTACACAAGCGAAGAGGCGAGGAAAAGCTGATTGTTGCAAATTTTTACTTGGTATACATCTTTAATTGTTGTTGTACTGTTGTTGTTGTTATTATTTACTACAGCTTTTATAAAGTAATACCATGACAATATAAATAATGATGTTAGCTTTGCTGAATTCACTCTATTTAAAAACAACCCAGACATCGGTCCTCCGTCATATATATTAATGAAGCGCCTGTAGAAAAAAACGGTTTAACCGCACTTGATAATTATTTAGAAAATATTTTGTTGTTATTCGAAAGAAAGGAGAACACGTCAAAGTACGTGTTTTCATAAGTTTGCAAAGACATAGATTGCCAGTAAGAATTGGCTATCTGCAATAAGGCTGACCTTATGTACCTAAGTATTTATCATTTAGATGCATTCCCTAGAAAAAATCTGTTGGAGTACAATCAAGTTTTTTCCATTTATTCAAATTCGTATTAGTTAATTACCAAGTAAAGAAAATTTATGGAAAAATATATATCAGGCAAAAAAGATTAGAAAGAAGGAAAGCATAGAAAGACAAGACAATATTGTTGGATATTGAGTTATATCAGGTAACTGAGTTATAAACGTCTATTTTTTGCGATCCTAAGAAATTACAAGCATGATGGTAGATACCTCCGTAGCACTTTAACGTTACGAATTTATATGATACTAGCTGACCCGGCAAACGTTGTATTGCAAAACAAAAAAAAATTAGGGATGGGTCACCCTTACCATTTAGGGGTATGAAAAATAGATGTTGGCCGATTCTCAGACCTACCCGATATGCACACAAAATTTCATGAGAATCGGTCAAGCCGTTTCGGAGGAGTACGGGAACGAACATTGTGACACGAGAATGTTATATATAAGACTATATCCCTGAGTTTTTTATTTAATTTCTTCTCAAGGGTAGATCAGTATTTTTAACTTAAAGTTGTTTTTAACATTTTATAAAACAAATCACCCTTTCATCCATCATTGTTGTTAATTTATACATTATGTATAATAGTATATAACGGTTCATGTGATCGTTGACATCTTATGTATTAAGAATTTGAAATCTCAATAATAATATTTGTATAAGGCAAACTGAGAGCAACTAGACACAACTCAAATAAATAGAGAGATTACAACATTGTTAGATATGATATTAGATATAAACATTTATACTCGTATACCTTTATATTGATATATAAATTTCATATCTTATTTTATTAGGTCATATATTTATAAACTAATGACGGTGTAAATAAATGTGTAAAGATCTTTAAGAATGTAGTGACGTGAAATATAATTGCATAAGTTCCAGTTCTATAGTGGAATGCAATCTACAAGTATTTTATTACTTAAAAATATTATTTCTAAACTCCTATTAAAGAATTAGTCTTGACTATTTTTTACCAATCACTTTCGAAAAAGTATTTAAACTCTGTATTATTAATATTGATAGAATATTTTCATGAAACTTTTTACATTATTTTTTGTGAATGCTAAGTGGGCAAATAAATACAGACCCACTTTAGTTGATGGCAAGCATCATTTGTTCATGTGCTATATTAACACGAATAGCCATATGACATTACGATTGAAACTCGACCTGTATTTTTCAAATTTGTGTGTGTTACAAATTAATAAAAACTTATATTAAAACATACAGTAAATGCTTTACAGTTGTATTTCGATGATCAGTATGTTGTCGTGAATATTGAAAAGTATTTGTCTATTGTATTCATACAGTCCGTGTGGTGACGGATTAAGAATACGGAATGTCGACTAAGGGAGTAAACTACGCAGGACAACAGCACTGCAAAGAGAAGGAAAACTTGAAAGAAACCCTATATCAACCTGTCTAGCCTGCGTGGTATAGTAGACCAAAACCTCCTTTTTAAGGAGAGGCCTATGTCCAGCAGTGGACTGTTATAGGCTGTTGATGATGATGATGATGATGATGATGATGATATATTTATTTTAGAAAAAAATCACTTTCACTTTTAGAAGTGCAAAATTAAAAAGGAATAAAGAAGAAGAAAAAATATGTAAAAAAATAAAATTGAAAGGTTTTATTATGTACGTCCATTATTTTTGTTGTAACTGTCAGAGTACAGAACCTACACCATGAAGGTCCAAGTAATACTAGTACTTAAAATAAAACATTTGACATTATGAAAACTTAACGGAAAACTTAATAATC